TGTGGACACTAAAATCCTACTCTTAATAACGCAGAATCTTTTGGGGTTAGTTCCTATGGGGTGAGCAGAGTAAAATGGGAAAATCATCCTGGTGCTTACGTTCTGGAGCTTCTGTGTGTGTGTGTGTTTGCTTGTTTCTAAGTAACCTGTGCCTGACATGGGTGCACCCTGGGCTTGCTCACTTCTGAACGGGTTGCTGACGGGGAGATCTCCCTTGGCTGACGCTCCGCCAGCGCTTCTCGAGTTCGGCCACCACCTGGATTTGCCCCGCTATAATTTACAAAATAGGCTTGGTTGCCAAGGCAGCTCAGCTCAATGGCCTATGATGTTCTCTTGAAAACACTTGAAAATTAAGTTTGCTGACCCCTGAACACAGTTAAGCCTTTATTTTATGGAGGTTAAATGCGCATCTAATATCAACAGAGATGATGCAACTTATATACACAGAAGTTGAATGAATTAGTCTTTGTTTTTAATTTTCTGTCTCCAGCGTGTTGAAATTCTGACATCTCTTCCCTCCCCTGTGTGTTCTCTCACTGCCAAAGAATAAATGTGAAATACTTCCTTATGCATGGGCTGCATTTCTGGATGCCTGGAAAATAACATTTCTGTCCATGCTTGCATTCCTGACACTCTTAAGTAGAGGAGGGAATCCCCATAGAGTATGAGAACAAGAGAAATCAGAAATTTTCTGGGAGATGTAATTTGGAACAAAACGGCATAAAACTTACTGTTTAGAAATTGTGTTTTAAAAAGTATATTGATTTTTAAAACAGACTTAAAAGTAATTCACATCCATTTTCTATGTTGCAGCAAACGGAGTTCAATTTAAAAAATAGATTTTGATGCCAACATGACAGATGCAAGTTGAAGTACAGTTTCTGAGTTTACATGCATGCCTAGTTGTCTCATAGTCACCTCAAGAATATACTACTCAACCATCAACTCTTCTGGGATAGAAATCCATAACTGTCTCCCCCTGGATTTAAAATTTAGGCTGCAGCTTCCCTCCACATGGCGTGAGAACTCATAAAGAGTTGTGAATTTAGAGGAAATTATTTCAGAGAAAAGTTATCTTAAAACAGTCAGCCCAGCTCATCAGCACCAGCCTCTACCTCCACCCTCCCTTCGGTTGCTTCCTGCTCACTCCCATGTTCCCTGTACTCTGCCAAAGTACCTCCAGCTACTTCTTTTCTGCCTCCCCTCTGATTGCTCTTCCCCGCCCCTACTCCTCAACATCGAAAGCCATAAACTCTATTAAATCTGTGTTGGTTTTCATTATCTATTAGGACTGTGTTGTTTCAGTCATGGCAGCTTGCGCTGGAATCTTTCCTCCTTCCCTTCCGCCCTTTCCCAAGGCGGCAGTGGAGGCCTCCTCTTCTTAACCCCTTCAGCAGGGGATGCTGATTCAAGACGTTGCTTAACTGGTCCTGTTATCAGGTCATGCTGTGGTTCAGAAATGTGCTCACTTCTTTGCTCTTTGTGAGTGCTCTGTTGTTTATAGCAAATATGACTAACACTGGTTATTTTTCTTTGTTTTAACCTTCAGATCATTGAGGCTAGAAGGCTTTCATGATGATTGTGTTTTCTCCTTTTTTTTAATGTATACTTTAATGTTACCACAGCTGGGAGATACGTTTTTTGTCATTCCCTGTGCTGGCTTAGGACACCTGACTTGATGCCCCCAGGACTGTTGACCAGAACATTGCTCTGCTTCCCTTCAACATGATTTTTTTTTCTGGAAACTAGAAGAGGAAAAATGCAAAACTTTGCTTTTGTAAGCTTCAGTCATGCAAGCCTTCACATGTTTGCTTTACTTTAGGCCTGTGAGTAATTGTTAGAGACTAATTTCGTAGTTAAATACACACTTCATAATAAAGAAGAGTTGTGAAGGAAACTAAGTTTAACATCCTATGTGGCAATTCCTTACAGCTCTCTCTCAAACTCTGATTAACCTGATAAAATAGCTCCTACTATTTGTTTGTCTTAGTTGTAGGTTGAGTTCACCGTTACATATAAATGGTTAAACAAAAGTTATAATGTACAAGATGTAATTTTGCAGGAATGTAAAATTGTTATGTGAGTCTCATCTGCAATTTAGATGCTCAGCAGTTAGACACTATCTACAGGGCTCCCTCATAGTTCACATTCTTCTGATTATTAACATCTTTAGAACTAGGTAGGAAAAGTGGCTTCCCACAGGGTCAAATAAATTCCTTGCTTTCCTGGAGAAGGGCGGGTGTGAGGGGGAGCTGTTTGGAAGGTGAAGTTGACTGTGCAGGTGCTTTAGCTGAGGAATTGCTATTCTCTTTGACGCTGACAGAATATTTGCCTACGTATGTGCTTAACATTCAGAAAATCTGGGACAAGAAAAAGGGGTTTAGAGAAGGAAAAAGGCAATCAAAATAATTTGTCCTGTAGCTTCTATTAAGTAGAGGTGATAATAAGATATCCAAGGCTTTTAGGATGGGATGGTGAAAAGCAACTCTCAAAGTGGAAAACTTTGAGTTTCAGGCCTTCTTCCTTCCCCCACCATCCCTTACTTCCCACCTGCACATTTGAAAAATTAACTTGCAAAACAAACCACAGTTCAAGTTCCAGACATGCGCAAAAAATCACAGCCAACCTGTAGAGCACCAAAACGTGGAACCCATTTGTGTTTTAGAAACTTGGGGTACTTGTGAACACCAGATTTTACAAGCACCTTTATAAAAGTCAGTTGGCAATCATGTGAGGCTACTTTCCACCCCCACTTGTCTCTCTGTCATCATGAAGCCAATGGAGAGAAGCTAAAAACTTCAGATTTGCCATAAAAGCGTATTATGCAAATCACGTCCCTGGAAGCTTTCCTTTCAGTTACAAAAGAACTTGTAAATCTGCATATTTCTAAGTGTCCTAAGGTACTTGGATAGTGCTTATGTAATTAGGCACCGACTTAGCATTCCTCTAATGCCTTGCCCTGGAAGACGTCCACTCTGACCTTCTGTATCCCAATCAGATGTCACTATCTCGACTTCCAGTTTGGGAGCAAATTATTTTACTGATTATTAACTCTCTGTATCCACGCTTGTCCGATGTTGACTAAAGTTCTTAGATGAGAGAAGTGTGCATGTGTGTATATGTTTCTTTTACACTTAATAAGTATTTTGGAGTACTACACATGGATTGTCTTCCTGTCAGACTTACACGGATAGTGACGGTTTTCAAAATGTAGCAGTTCACAGCAGTTGTGTAATTAGTATAATATCATGTTCCTAGGTGTGCTAGGTAGAGGGATTTGACTTTGCAGCAGCTGTACTGCTACGCTGAGATTTAGTGCTTATGTCCCAGGGGCTGCAAACAGTAGCAATTGAGAGAGATGCTCTTGCCATCTTGGCAAAGCTCTTTCAAATCTTTCTTTCTAAAGAAGAGTATAGAAGCAGGTAAGAATAAGGGCCAAATATAAGGGCCTAATGAAATACAGTTTAAAATGTAAAACCATGCTGATTTCTTTTCAGATTGTGAATGTGTCACGATTAGATGGCACTGATAACCCTGTGGAGCTGATCTATTTTGTGGAGGATCAAGACGGAAAGAGACTCAGTGCTCTGAAATGTTCGGATCTCATGAACAGGGTTGACATCCAGCGAGCTGCGATCATCCTTGGATACCGCATTGAAGGCACCGTTGCACAGCGTAAGCCTTGTTAAGTCCCCCTGATGCCAGCAGAGAGAAACAGAAAGGATGACATTAGCGATGGAGATCAGGGCACTTCAGAGTATCCACCACTGTGATGTTTTGTCTTGGGATGCTCCTATTTTGGCAGTTCTAAAGAAATATATTTCAGCAGTCGTGTGCTGCTGAGCGATGTGGTGTTGCTGTCTTCCTGCAGACCCTGCCAAGCTTAGGGTTGCAAAAAGGCCTAATTTCAAGGCATTTTGGAGTGTACAAGATAGAGAAACCTCTTTTCTTCTTGAATATGATGGGTTAATACAGAAGTAATATGAACTTTTAATAAGGTAATATTGTTAGTCATACATCAGAATAAATAGGACAGGCCCCCCGGAACAATAAACTTTATTCAGGAAGCTTGATATATAAATAATTTGCAGTAAGGTGCCAGAGAGCAAACTTACTCAAAACGTTGTATTGTAGTTAGGAAGGAAATTTGAAAATATTTGAAGAACAGACAAACAAACAAAGCCCCCCAAAACACAGATGCATCTGAACAATAAAGTACTTCATAGATTTAAATGCTTAATTAGGTTTTCTGTTTTCTGTGTGGTATTTGAAGCATGAGTTACATTGTACCGCAGGGTATTTTGGCATGTGCTTGATTTTTAGAATTGTCTGCAGAAAGAAAAGAAAGAAAATAGTGATAATTTAACCGTCTGGGTGATTTTATGTTTCTCAATTTTGTCCCTCATTTAAGCAGTAGTTTAAAGATTGTTCCATAACCAATCTGCCTGAGTTCTGTTAATGGAATATAATATTGGCAAGACAAAATACAAAAGGTTACAAGAATAAATACCCTTACAAAAATGATAGGGTGGACCAAACTCCATGGAGCGCTTATAGCATATTCTGTGTTTTGAAACCTGGTATCTCCAAGACCAACTAAAAAGTTCTTTAAAAAGGCATAGAAATAATGTTTTTTATGTTTTTTTCTTCTTGGAGGGGAAATTCTTTTAAGAAAATGCATTTAATCATTTGGAAATTTATTACGGCTCTGTTTTTCAGTCCCACCTGCAACCCCTGTGCAAAACAGAGTAAACTAAAGTTCTGTCAATTCTTCTGTTACAGGTTTGAGATGTGTTGCTGGTTGGGTGGCACTTTCCAGTATAAATAGCTTTGTCTTCTGTTAGGGATCTCTGACAGTGACAATGAAATAGAGAAAGGAAAGTAATTTATTAATAAAGAACGTGTAACCCTGCACATTGGGGAAGAGGGTTTTACTGATTTAAATTTGACTGTGGTTATTCATAGAGAGAAGTAGCAAAATGTATAGTGTATTGCTGAAGAGAAGGGAGAGCAGGACATAGGCAGCAATGTAGAATAGTTTTCAACTTTATTAGTGGTGGATTAATTTCCCAGACACATTTCATTGTATCAGCTTGGTTTGGAGTTAGAGGATGATGTGGTGAAAATGCATTTCATGTAGTAACTTAGGCACAAGCTTCAGAGGTAGGCAAGAATGTATTCTGAATGTGACATCCATTAACTTAAGTGTGTATGACATTTTCTGTGATGTGCAACTGGTTTCTGATAAATCTCTTAACTAGCATTTGCAAAAAGATAAAAATACATTGAAGTGTATTTTTCTTGAAGTGTTCCCAGTTAAAAATATACAGCCACTTAAAATAGTATTCATTTTTCTAACTTTACAGCTCTGGAAAAGCTGAAGGGGTCGTCCTCCGAGGCACAGAACAGCAACCTGTGGATTATTGTTGGCGTGGCCGTCCCCGTTGCTGTAGTGCTCCTGATCGTCATTATTTTGTACTGGAAACTTTGCCGGACAGACAAGCTGGAGTTTCAGCCAGACACAATGAGCAACATTCAGCAACGACAGAAGGTAAATAGGAAGCTGTGCTGGTGGTGGGTTGGTCTATTCTGAACAGAACTGAACATGAGAGCCCAGGGAACACGTGCTATCCTTACAAAGGATGTGGAAATACTGTTTTGGAGCCTTCTGGTATAAAAACAGTTAAACGAAAGCTTAGGTCAAGAATCACATACTGTTTTATCTGTTCTGCTAGTTATTTGATACTGCATTGAATACATAAATCTTTCTGAAAAATGTGGGCAGTGAGACTGAAAAGAGCTTTTCTTCATCTTTTCAAGGCTTTGGCTCAGACCATGTAAGAGGATATGTATTCACTGCTGAATTACTAACCTTGTTTTCTGCAGAAAGCTGATTTTTTTCTGTGGAGAGCTTCCGCTAAACTAATTCAGCAACTCAGCTGCACTATCTATCATACCAGGCATTGGCGCTAAAATTCACTAGAGCTCATCTTTGCTCCTCAGCCTTCCTCAGAGCTTAGTATTTTGCTGCCACAGTGCCCATGTTGCTGCCCTGGCAGCCTGTTGTTGGACTAGAGCTTCAGGTGCTGGCGTTGGATGAGATTGCATGGGTAGGATTTTGGTTGAAGTGATGGAGGACTTGGTTAGGATGGTGAGAAAAGTCAGTAGTCTATTTTTCATGCCCCAAATTACAAAGCATTTAATCCAGGATTTTCAGAAGGGGTGTATTCATTAAAAGGAGTGGAAAAATGACTAAAGGGTTACAAGTCTTACTTTTCCTTTTTACAACTGAGGAGGACAGGTCTGTGTCAGAAATAGATATTCTGACTATACCTTCATGTCCCCTTGTCACAGGCATTAATAAGGGCAAAATCGCCTGCCTGTGGTAATCCTGTGGTACCATAGTCATATTCTTAGCCCTGTCACCTCGTGTTCGGTCATACGGTTTCCGCTGTTACAAGTCTTGTCTGTACACCATGCTCTCTCTCAGGATAATTAATGATGTGAAAGATGAGAGGAGCAGAAAGCTGTTGCACTTCAAAAGCAGTCAGAACAAATCAATAGCAGCTTCCACTTGTCTTGCCACTGTACAATGAGTATCAGAAACAAGGTCAACAAAAAGTAATGCCCTGTGATGAACTTCAGCCATGGTAGTTGCTTTACCTGACCTGGATTGATGAAATTCCCCATAGTAGTTTAAGGTCATTTTGAGAATGGTCATAGGAAAAAGGTGGGAGAGGATCAGTATCCTTGGTAGACTCTTTCATGACCTAAATCTGTAGTACCTCGCTGCTGTCTCAAGTTTTTTATAAGAAAGTAGTTGCTGGCTGTAGGCCAGAATCATCTGTCATAGTTTTACATTGTTTGTGGATAATCTACTGAATAGACTCAGATTTTGATTTTTTTGTTGTTTGTTTCTTTCTCCCTTTCTTCCACAGTACTCTTCACTTTAATCATTCTTTAATCATTCAACACACTTCAATGTGTTTGTGTGATAGACTTGTTTTGGTTTGTCTAGAGAGCCTGTCACTTTGCCTTCTGTGCAAGCAAATTAGAAAGAACCTCTAAGGGCTTCTAGTCCAACTTTCATGTACCAGTGGATGGCTCACAGTTTAATACTAAATGAGGTAAAGCATTAAAAAGTGTCTTAAATTTTTATCACTTGGCACATTAAGCAATTGGCAGAATCCATTTCCAGAACCATTTTTCTCCTTGGGTGAAGATCCAGAATAAAAGTAGTAGTCTGGCTTCCTTGGTAGCAGGCTGGCTCTAGGCTTTCTTAGTGTCTTGTCTTCCAACAGAAAGTGTTTTTTTCTGAGTCAGAATAGGACATATTGAGCAAGTACTGAGACCTCCAAATGGTCAAAACAACATTAAAATGATGAAGTGCAGTTATCCTGGTCTTGCCTTTTGCTTATGTCTTTTTTTTTTAATTGTTTTATTGCTGTAAATGCAAACAAAAAAGTCAAAGAAGTGAAGTCATGTGATCAGGGGTTTGGAGCTGTAATAAACTCATTTTTTTAAAAACAGCTCGGATCTTCCCCCCCACCCCCCGAAACAAAATTTCCTTTTCCTCTTTCTAGTCCTTGACTTTTGTACCAAAGGAAAGTGAAGACCTGCGCTACATCTGTAGATGGAGGAATATTTGGATTAAAAAACTGTTTGATATTTTTTGAGATTGAATTGTTCTCTTTGTTTAAAAGAAATTGTAGAGGAGGCACATTTGTGGTTTTAGCTCTTCTCTCAAATATCAATCTTTAAAAATAAGCGTTTTAAAAAGTAAATATAGAAATGAAATGTGTAAATATCAAGGTGTTTCATTAACATATACATGGTATGCCCACACTGGAATTAGAACGTAATTCTTGTCAGTCTACAATGTTTTGCACTTGAAAATGTGCTGATTTTTTTTAATCTTAATCCCTTTGATCTGGAAGATTGGAAACGGGGATACTTTCCATATTCAGGTGAAATAGGGTATCATTTTGCACTGGTGGATATCTAGAGGTATCACCAGTCTGCTCTTCAGTGTGTTTAATGACCTGTTTTACCATAGCAGATCAGTGGGCATAAAACCTGATAGAATTTATAGTAGTAGAAGATATCGGATGATGTGACCTGTGATTTAAAGCCTGATGCAGGGTTAGGAGTGGGAGGAGGAGGCGGCTTGTGGTGCCATTTCACACTGCTGAGGAAATATCTTCCTGCTACCAGGCTAGGGAACTTCTGTGAATGTATGGTGATGCCGCTGACTTTTCTGCAAATTATGAGAGTAAGACACAAGTTTTACAGGATTTGCATTCTTGTCTTAAGAAAGATGTTCAGAAGATGCTACAAATTTCCTGGATTTTGTAAACATACGTGTCATTTTAGTCCCTTCCTCATGGCTTTATCTGAAAATACGTTGAAATGAACTTGGGCAATATAATTTTTTTAGATTTTACTTTCATCTTGTATGCGTAAACATTTGCCTCCACAAAGGCTTTGTTTCCTTTCTTTTTGTTTCTTTCTCCTAGATAGATACGACTTCTCTGTTTTAATCACCATCGTTTAAAGTAGCTCCTAAGTTGCATATGCTCACATCACATCTTTTAATGGAGCGAAGGAAGGAAGGTGCTATTATCTCTTGGCTGTAGAGCCTACCTGCCTTTGGAGCGCACCTTGTGCGTACGCTGCCGTTGCACTGCGCCGAGGGGAAGGTCTCAGCACAGCCTGTGTCAGGTTTTCTCGCTCCTCAGCCACCCCAGGCAGAGGATCCTGCTAGCACAGCTGTCCTGCATTGGCCCCTGGGCAAAGCTTGGTGCATCTGCTGCGGAGAAGCCCTTGGGGCAGGAGATAGTAACGTATCTGCCCACTTCAGCAGGCTGAACTGTGCTGAAAAGCACTTGGTGGTTCCTGCTGTGAGGAAACATCATCTAAGCACCTGAGGCCACATCGTATTGATGTGCCAGGGCAGCCTCGAGTCTGGCATGAATCCAGATTCACTACCAGCTCCCGCTGTCCACCCTTAAGGCCAGATCACCCTCAAGGATAATGCTGGTATAAAGGATCATGTTCTTTCTAAGGTGGTGACCAGTGCAGAGCAAATGTGCCCTGCTGTTCTACCCCACCGGTTCCTGTTCTCTCCGTCTGACTTCCCAGTTGCATCACAAAATTGGTGTCTTGCAGACAGCATGACATCAGGATCCTTCCTGAAAAATAATGCCACCTTCTGCTAAGGATACATAGGTAGCCTGAGCACGAACCAAGCTAAGGTTGCTGATAATGAGAATGCGAGGTGCAAAGTCTTAAGGGATGGTCTAGACGTTGGGTATTCTCAAATATTTCTACCTAAGTGACTATAAATATAGCTGTATATAGGAAAGAAAAGTTTTGTGCAATGTTAGCAAAATACTGAGAAAATTACTGATTCTGCATTTATACTTACAGGGAAAATTTGAATTGAAAATAGTATTTGAAAATGGAGTTGGAAGAGACCCTGGTAGGTTAGCTAGTCTGTCCCTCTTCCTCTAAGGGTCAACTGTATCTGAAAAATCTTACAGTTCATTCTTGGTTCTGGAGATTAGATGGAGAAAACAAGTATTTAAGACAAGTTTATTTTGGAACTTTTCTATACTGGCAGTTAAGGAAACAGGTCTTTTAAGGCAAGATCCATTGATCTGTGCAAAGATGACTTTTCAAGAGATGGAGACATGATGTTTGAAGGGCACATCAAGTATTCATGACCTGCTGTGTAAGCTGCAGTATTCTGCAGGAAATTCGCCTTGATGTGATCTGGGTTCTCATCCTGGATAAAGATGTCTTTGCCTTTGGAAGTAAAAAGATGCATGAGTGGCATATGTACACTACAGGTTTCTCTCTTGCCATTTTTTATATCCACCAAAATGTCATCGCATTGTGAACTTTCTTTATTGCAAAGAAGCTTTGCCTTTATGGATAGTTGGATTTTTGCCATGGGTCATTTTTCTTCTGCATGAGAAAATGGATAAATGTCGCTTTTTGCCCAGGCCCTCATTCCTCATTCTCTCCTGGAGTACCAACATTTTTGTGAGAAAATACTGTCAACCCTTTTCCTCTTCCATGAAGAGGAAAAAACATTTCTGTATATTATCTGTAATGCAAGTAGAATTGGAAAGATTAGTTCTCTCTCTCTTTGGGCATCCAAAAATTAAAATGAAACATTGTTCCTTATGGATCTCACCTTCCCTGCTTTTCAGAGGGCAAAGTCAAATACTTTGCTATGGCTTTTCAGGGGTGGTTTTAGCCCCTGACAGTTATTCATGGCAAGGCTCTCTTCCCTGCTAACAAGAATATCAGTGCTGATATGGTATGGACAAGCTCATTTCTTTACAGGATCTTGGAAGTCCTCCTGCAAATGCTGGACATGCTGAAGTCATTGCCTTTATAGGGCTGACTTGGAGGGAATGCTTGTTTGGTTCCGTGTTTTGCCAAGGAACTAGTTTTTACACCTTAAAACCCTAGAGGAAAAAAAAAGTCTCCCCCTCTAGTCAGGAGACACTGCTTTCCAGTCAGTGCCCTGTGTGCCCCACT